ATTAAAACAGCCCCTGGCGAGGCCTGTGGAGTTAAAGACTGTTATTTCCTTATGGCGTGCTGAAATGTAAGGTCCTTTTATAGTCGCTCTGTGCAGAGACTGCTAATCAGAGCACGCTCCTACTCGGGACAATTAGATCCCAATTTACTGCTCCTGTGAAAATTTCTGATCTGCAGGAGGAGGCCCTCGGAGATCGTTTGTTTCTATCATAAACTTTAAAATATGGAGAGTTAGGAATATGCCAGTGAGAGCCTGTGTGTCAGTGCCGGCGTGCGGGGCTAGACCAGAGTTCTTCACATTGCCCTTGACTCGGAAGAAGACCCCTTGCCGGGAGCCCTGGGTCCAGCACGGGGGCTTCCTGTGGCGTCTGGAGGGTGGTGAGATTCCCACTTCCTTTCCTGACGCTGTTCAGGATCCATGAATAGCTCCGTCGTGGCCCGGATGATTCCAAGTCTGTTAGATTCTGCGGGTTTATGCTAATTGCCTCGTCTGCCACTTGGGCTGAGAATGCATGGGTGGAAGATAATTTTTCCCAGTCTGTTTAGCGTCGACCAAGAGCCTGCCTCAGCCTGCAGGTGGGCTGCAGGTCTCAGGCCTCCCCGCCCACACTTCTGGGGCCTCCTCTGCTTCCGGTCTGGTGTATCTGACCTTGCTTGCCTCCACACTCACTGGCCTCAGGTTTTCTGCATCCCCCAGGGAGAGCAGAGAGCAGGTATGCGGCCACCCCTGTTCCTAGACACCGCAGGCCAGAATACTCCCTTCTCCACGCCCCCCCCCCCAATTCTGCCTTCAAAAGCCTGCTGGACTCGTGTGTGGGTCTAGGTGGGGTGGGGGGCTCTGTTTGATGCAGCTGATGCAAATGCTCTGGGTTCTCCAATCCACAAGTTGATTCTGCAGACTAGCTGGCCGGACTCAGCTTCACTGGACCCAGGAGAGACTCTGTGTGCTCTGAGTCGTCTGGCTGCGCAGACAGAGGCTGTCATTATGGCCTGTTGGGGAACTTCAAAATAGAGCAGTGTTGTTGGATGGAAAGGAGATTAGGGGCAAGGCTTGATCCCCCTGGAGGGCCTGGACTGGGGGTCAGGAGGACTCTGCATCGTCATACCTTGGAGACACTGAGCGTTTCTCCAGAGACTTGCCAGGGGATGCAGTTCTGCAGCAGAACCCGTGCCTTGCATGGGCGAGGCCCTGGGTTCCCTCCCCTGCACCACCAGCCACTTAACAAAATCGGCCCTTTGCTCGCAAAGCGTTGCTCAGAGCCCACGGTGTGGTCCACTGAACGTGACCGGATAAAGAACTCTGGGCTGGGGCTGGAATGATAGCACAGCGGGTAGGGCGTTTGCCTTGCATGAAGCCAACCCGGGTTCGATTCCCAGCATCCCATATGGTCCCTCGAGCACCGCCAGGAGTAATTCCTGAGTGCAGAGCCCAGGAGTAACCCCTGAGCATCACTGGGTATGACCCAAAAAGCAAATAAATAAATAAATAAATAAATAACCAACTCTGGGCTGTTTGAGGCCGTGTTCAAAAGATGAAATGGTACCTTTTAGGGACAAAATGGATAGAAAATGATAATGCACAGAGGAACAGCAACAGTGAGAAGTAGAGCTTGGCTTCATGCCGGCTTCACTCCTGAGTATAATCGATCTGTTAATGAACATATCGATGCTGGCGCGTCCCACCCATGGCTCACGTGCGAATGTGGTTGAATTAACACAAATCGCAGCACTGGTGGTGTGCTAAGGGACACAGGTGTGCAGGAGGCAGCAAATGTCCTCCTGGATTTATTGACTGGGCAGTGGGAGTGATGGGGGTGGGGAGACTGAGGCGAGGGGCCCTGGGGGAGTGGGTGACAGGAAGCTCTGTCGACTGGGCGGGGAAACACTTAGACACACCCCAGGGTGAGGCTGCAGCAGGCTGCAAACAAGACCAGGTCAATTGGACGGAAATCGGGGGGTGTGTGGGGAGGGGGCAGGAGCCAAGTGAGGGGGCGAAGGGGACGGCTGCGTGGAGACGCGGGGGGCCAGGCTGGGTGGGCGCTGCTGGGCCCAGACGGTGCCTTCGCCCCAGTCTGTCTGCTGAGGCCCCACGGCCGAGCCCCTTAGAACCGAGACTGGCTCTTCATTCTCTATGTCTTCTTGTTTGCTTGGGGGCTACACCCATCAGTGCTCAGGGCTGACTCCTGGCTCAGTGCTCAGGGATCACTCCTGTCAATGTTTGGGGGGAACTTTCTGGGATTTCAGGGATCAAACCAGGGTTAGCCGTGTGGAAACCAAGTGCTTTATTGGCTGTGTTATCTCTCCAGCTCCTTTATTTATTTTTTTTGGGGGGGGGCACACCTGATGGTGCTCAGGGGTCAGGGAGTGCCAGAATTGAACCCGGGGCCTCACATGTTCTCTGGCTGGGTCCCAGAGCCATTGAGAGGTGAGAGTTGCCAGGCGCCATCAGGTGGGCTCTGCTCCAGCCCACCTGGGGCCCTCCACAGAGAGGAGGGGGAGGAGGCATAGGATGAAGGGAGGGACCAAGGGAGAGAGAGCCCAGCAGGCCTGGAGCCGGCTGGCAGCCCTGTGGGTGTGACTCAGGCGTCCTGCTGTGGGGGGCTCCCTGAGTGTCCACCCAGAAAAGTGACCCCTTGCTCCGGCACAGACTCAGGGTTCCTCAGTCAGACCCCGTCACGCATGGCTCTGCAGCCGTTTTCACACAGGGGATGCCAAAGCCCTTGCTCCCGCCTTCTCTATGACTGATGATGCATTTCCCATTCTCGTCTGCCTGCCGGAACCATCTGGAAGGCTGCAGGGAACATCTCAGCCTCGCTCCAAGAAGGGCTCGTCTGGCCCTGACAGGGAGATTGGAGGCCGGGCTGGGCCCTCCCTGCCTCAGTTTCCCCGGGAGCGGGCAGCCTGGAGGCCTGATCTGTGAGAAAGCCCTTCCTGCAGCTCCTGCCTGCCCCCGGCCACTCTGCCCATCACGGGGAAGGTATTCAAGTTCCTCCCTCGGTGCTGCAGCTTGGGGGGCAGTGGGGGTGGGACTTCCTGTCACGCGCCCACAGAGCCCTTATTTGACATCATCTCTGTGGCCCTGTCCTGGGGCCTCAGTCCCCAGCTGAGCTGGGCGGAGTCCGAGGCCTTCTGGGGGAGGCCTTGGCCTGCCCAGGTGCCCTGTAGCATCAAGGGGCCCAGCCCAGTAGCAGACCCTTCCGGTTCCGTCAGGAGCCCAGTAGGGCGCTTGATGGCTCGGACCCCTGGTGTGTCCACATGAGCCCCTCGGAGAGAAGCCTTCCCCCCCACCCCCAGAGTCTACTCTGGTACAGGGGGTCAAGCCGGTCCGTTTGCCATGGAGGGTGCTTCTGGGATCAGGGGCATGCGGGAGCCCTGGGCTGCCCTCGGTGGGCGGCTGCAGGGGGTTCCCGGGCTGCTCCTTGGGCTCTGCTCCTCGGCCTGCTGGATTCCCCCTTTTTGGTCCCAGGCCCCCTTGGCAACATTAAAGAAATGTTTGCAAAGGTTTGACTGAGTCTCAGCAAACCCCGGCCCCTCGCTGCAGAAGTTCTCCTGCTGTGGAAGGAGAAGGAACCGTTCCCCAGGGGAGCTGTGGGTGACACTGCTTCAAACAGATACACCTGGACGTTTCCGGGCATGGGGCCCCGGCACCTCTGCCTTCCTCTCGTCGGGAAAATGCCAGTTCCCCCCGTGCGTGGGGGGCAGGGCCCGTGGCCGGCCAGCCCTCCTGGCTGGCATCCATGTCTCTGCCGAAGGAGTCTTGTACACCCCAGGAGCGAGGCGGGAGACAGGAAAGAGCTGAGCCAGCAGGAGGGACCCTCCCTGCTTCCCCGTGGGGACCCCCGTTTCCTCCTGCACTGGGACCCCTGCTGCAGGTGCCAGCCCTGGAGTCAGTGAGCCTCTCGTCCGGTGTGGTCAGTGGTGGTGGTCCCTGGCACTGACTCCAGGGCCCGGAAGATACCTGCTGTCTCTGAGCCCCACCCCTGGAGCCGTTGGGAGAGGCAGAGCCTGTCCCGGTCACTCACCTGCTGTGGCCTGGCTCGCCCTAGCAGAGCCCACACTGTATTGGCATCACGAGGGTGCCCGGGGCTTTGAGGGGGCTCCTGGAATGAGCTCCCTTCTGTGGCCAGAGGCTTCAGTTCCATGGTGGGAGCTCAGTGATGGGCCTGAAGCCGGCGCTCCTAGTGGGGGAAGCACGCGGGGATCCCCGACCTCACCTGTACGCTCTTTGTGGTGGCTTAGACCTGGGTTTCCTCAGTCCACGGGGAGACTCTGAGGGGGACATGGGGAGACACTGAGGGACTCTGAGGGGGACACGGGGAGACTCTGAGGGGGACACGGGGAGACTCTGTGGGGCCCCACAGGAGACTCTGAGGGGGACCATGTGGAGACTCTGAGGAGGACCACAGGGAGACTCTGAGGTGGACACAGAGAGACTCTGAGGGGGACCATGTGGAGACTCTGAGGAGGACCACAGGGAGACTCTGAGGTGGACACAGAGAGACTCTGAGGGGGACACGGGGAGACTCTGAGACGGACACGGGGAGACTCTGAGAGGGATCGCAGGGAGATTCTGTGGAGGATCACAGGGAGACTCTGAGGGGGACCACAAGAGACCCTGAGGGGGACCACGGGGAGACTCTGAGGGGGCACGGGGAGACTCTGAGGGACCCTGAGGGGGGCACAGGAAGACTCTGAGGGGGACACAGGGAGACTTTGTGGGGGATCATGGGGAGACTCTGAGGAGGACCACGGAGAGACTCTGAGGGGTCCACGGGGAGACTCTGACAGGGCCACAGGGAGGCAGAGGGGGATACAGGGAGACTCTGAGGGGGTCAGCGGCCATATCCCTGTAGGCCCCTGTGCTGGGATTCTCGTTGCTCTGCCTGGGATGCCGGGAGGAGGCTGTGCATATGGCCGGCCATGGCTTTGTGTCCTGACTGCCTCCTCCTCTGCCACGCTGGGAGGAGGCCGGGTCTGACGTCTGTGTTTCTCTCGCTGCAGATGGGCAGAAGAAAGTGCAGGAAGAGTTCGACATTGACATGGATGCTCCAGAGACAGAACGGGCGGCCGTGGCCATTCAGTCCCAGTTCAGAAAATTCCAGAAGAAAAAGGCTGGCTCCCAGTCCTAGGGCGGACACCCTGCTTTGCCACCCGCCGCAAGACGCCGAACTCCGCCATCATCTGTCAAGCAACTAAGACACCCCTGAGAGAACACCTGCCCACGACACGCACACACACCCTCTACCCCGCCCCCCCATGCATGCACCCCTGCAGTAGAGCCCCCTAGAGGACGGTGTAGGCACTGCACCCGTGAGTGTCTGCAACTCTGTTATCTCCAGATCGTTCCTCCTGCTACCAGCCATGGTCCTTGATGTTGTAATAAAAAGGAGTTGAGATGCCTGATTCTGGCTCCGCCTCCCTTCCTTCCTCCATGGTGGGCTAGAGGACAGCCGGGAGACTCGAATATTGCACAGAGAACCAGTGGGGGTCCTTTCCTGACCTGGCTTGGAGAGGGTTTCCTCTGACAGGGTCCACTGGCTGCTAGCATGGGCAGCCCCTCTCTTTGGAACTCTCCCTGCAGAGCCAAGACCCCAGGGGTGGGGTTTCTTTCTTCTCCCCCTCCCCTTCAGTAATAACACCCATGTTGGCTGAGGGCTGTGATGATGGAGGGGCCCCTTATTCCTCTTCTATACCTCCTTGACCCCCATCCCAGCATGGGGGCACAACTCCCTTGCTCTGAGTCACGGGAGCGGGGGACAGAGGGAACTGTATGTTTTTGCTTCGCAGGTGAATTTAAGAGAGTGAATTCCAAGTGACAGCCACGACAGGGCCCCTTGGCAAGGGGACAGGCAGTCAGAGGCAGGAGAAGAACTATAGGTTTCAGAGATCGTTGTGGATCCCTGGGCTCCAGGCATTGAAGGGTCTTCTAGATCTTTCTAGATCCCCCGGTTTCCAGCTTTGAAGCATCTTCCAGATCCACAGGTGCTCACACTGTTGGTCCCAGAGGGGAGAGAGCCCAGCCCTGGGCCGCACAACTTCGTGAGTTGGAGCTTCACGAATTCATGCCCATTTATTGAGCTCCCAGGAAGTGTTTGTGCCAGGGTGCTGCTGAAGCCTTCGCTGGTCTGGGTGCTGGCACTTTATCATCGATGATAAAGTGGTGAGAGAGTAGAACAGAGGGGGGCAGCTCTCTGGGCCGGGCTGGTCTCTGTGCTCTGAACAGCTCTCAGAAGTGGGCGCTGCTGGACAAAGACTGCCAGGCAGTGGATCAGTAGACAAGTAACTAGGGCAGCCTGGGAGAAGGAGACTCGCATTTTATCAGACCAGGGCACAAAGCTGGGGGCTATGACTCTGCTTCCCACACTTGGCCAGACCTGGAAATGGGATGCCAAAGCTGGCAATTTGGGACTGGATTCATCTTCAGCTTCCAAGCTGACCACAGGAGTCCAAGTCAGCCAACTTTGAGATGCGACAGGTTCCTAACCATCAGGGTGGTGACGGAAGGTCTTATAACAGGATGAGCGGGACCGAGTGAGGAATATAGAATGAGACACTCTAGGAGAGTGAGAGGCATGAGAAACGGCAGAAGGGCAGCAAGGACTCACTATTGTCAGCTCAAGCCCACCCATGGGACTCTGCTTGCCAAGGCGACCATCTGTTGGGTACCAGGAGTAGGGCGGCACCACCCACAGGAGCTGGGCTCTCCAACCAGAAATTTCCCCTTGAGAATAAGAATGAATAGTGACGACCACAGAGCCAGGTCATGGGAAGGAAACCAGAGGCTGAACTTGAAGCCTCTCTCCTGGCCAGAAAAGGCTGCTGACACAGTTCTTCTTCTAAGAAGGAGTCCTTTTGCAGAGACATGTAAAAGGCGGTCACAGTCATGGTCTTCCCGTTGTTCATTGATTTGCTCGAGCGGGCCCAGTAACGTCTCCATCATGAGACTTGTTGTTACTGTGTTTGGCATATCGAATACGTCACGGGTAGCTTGCCAGGCTTTGCCGTGCGGGCGAGATACTCTCGGTAGCTTGTCGGGCTCTCTGAGAGGGGCGGACGAATCGAACCCGGCTGAGCTGGGCCAGCTGCACGCAAGGCAAATGCCCTACCGCTGTGCTATTGCTCCAGCCCCTCATAAAAGGCAACACACGAGAATTCAAGACCTAAGATTGAGGGGCCCCGTGAGTGACAAGGGGAGCCCAGGTTGAGTTCATCATTTGGTTTTAATGAGTAGAAACCCACTTTAGCATGAGCTAAAAACAGACAAAATATTCAGGTCTCACAGACACCCCAGAATAGAACCCCAAGACATCCAAGCAAGGAATAGAATACCATGGACAGGCAGAAACACATTAAACTTATAAATAAACAGCACTGTGGGGGAGGCGGTAAGCGTTCATAGGATCGCCTTCTCAGTGTGTGATGGCTTTCTGGAAAGTTTTAGTTTCTCCATGGAGGTCTTTCTCTTCTATTTCTGATGAGGCATTTCGTGGATTGCTCTTGTGTTTCTGAGTAGAATCTCTCCTGCTGCCCCCCAACCAAAATGTTCCTTAGCTGGTTTTGCTGTTTCTAGGAAAACTGCTGAGGCTCGTAAGCTTAACCCTTTACTCATCTCCCCAAATGACAGAATATATGCACTATTTTTTTAAATTCTCATTCCCAGAGATTCTGAACATTTCCAGCACACAGCCTTATCAACTACAAATGACTTTCTCTTCCATTCTTGTTTCTTTCCATTGATTTGAACCTCCTTCACTTTTCTGTTTTCTTCACAGTTTATCTTTGAATTTTGTAGGACATGCAAGGGAGTTTCTTTTTCACTGGCTATTTTCTTTGAATTAGCTGATCTTTTTTAAATGCTTATTCCATCTTTAATATAAAACTGTAAACGTTTATTTACACAAAGCAAGTGTGTGTAACAAAAGTCCTTTGAGTCTTGGCTCCTGGAAGGTGGGGTATCGTGTGTCCCCCTGGCCACCCGACACACCAGGTTCATAAATAAAGCCATGGGCAGCTCCGGGGGAGGGACCCCTCCCCCAACATCACACTGTATTGCTTTGACCTGGCGGCCCTGGACTAAGGCAGGGTGGTCCCGCTCACCTCCCCGGAGTGGGGGGAGGGGCAAGAGCTGGGGAGGTCACCAGCCTTCACCCCGTTATTTTTGGTAGAAAACTCGCTGAAATCACCCTTATGCTCCGGTGGATTGGGGAACCACTGTCTCCCCCCCGCCCCCCCCCCCCCCCACCGGGTGAAGTGTCCACTGGCCTGATTTGGATTAGCTGATTTTAAATACAGAGGGTAATCTTTTTTTTCCAGTCTTGAAGCCTTAGTTTTTAAACTTTTTTTTCTTTTGGTGGGGGCGTTGGTGCCTCCCAAGTGATGCTTGGAGGCCCCAGACTCCCTCCTGGCCATTCTCAGTCAACCAGACCCAATCAATGCAAGGATATGGGTCCACTTGGACCAAGGGATGCTTAAAATTACCTGGGCCACCTTTGCGGTGGTGCTTAGGAAGCTCCAGGGCTGTATGCAGTGGTATCCTAGGAACGTGAGAGATCAGGATCAAACACAAAGGGAGTCACAAGTCTTACATGTGCCTTAAGCCCTGTACTATCTCTCTGCTTCTTGGAAGTTTCTTACTGGGTCTCTGTGTGCACAGAGCATATGTTCTCTTAGATCCATCAGCTTCATTCCCTGAAACCCACCAACATCATTCCCTGAGACATACCAGCTTCCTGCCTGAGATCCATCAGCATCTTCCCCTAAGATCCACCAGCATCCTTCCTGAGATCTATCAGCATCATCCGCTGAGATCCATCAGCATCGTTACTTTAGATTCATTAGGGAATCATGGAGGGTAGGTGGGTGGGGGAGGCAGTCAGGATTGCAGTTTATTTAGGATTTGCCCTGAAGATGGGGATGACCTTGAATGAGTGCTGAGCAGATTTCCCAGGCAACGATGGGGTGCTTGGTTCAGAGGACACTGGACAGAGTGACTCCCAGGAGACCTGCCAGCACAGATGGCCAGTGGCCAGGGGCTGTTAGCCATGTGATCCTCACAGCTGCAGGAGCCGGAAGCTTGAGGTCCATGTGCCAAAGACTTGCCTAACTGGGGCCCACTCCCACCTCGGGCAGCAGACAGGTCCTTCCTGGGGGTCTTGGTGAGGGCTGGGAGCTCTGGGGTCTCTTCTTATGGGGTTCACTTGCGGGACCTCGGTGCAACCCAGAGCCCCCACTTTGGAGGTGAGGGTTTGTAAGTATGAATTGCAGGTTTTCAGGCTGTGACCCCACCTGGATACTGGATGAGGCTGCCAGGGCCCTTGGACATCACCCCTCTGATGCCATCCTCTGAAGAGACTGCTGCGTTGGTCTCCTGCCTGCCTGACAGATGGTCTGCCTCGGGGTGAACATACAGCACCCTTCTCCCCGAGATCAAGGACCTCACTCTCTGCCCCATTACTCTGGGGTGTGGTCTGTTCTGCACACAACTGACTCAGGGGCAGAGGAAGATAGAGTGCCTTGCTGTGTCAAGAAGCTGCCCCAGAGGTGAAGTGGGTCCTGCAGAGTAGCATGGATAGGGCGTGGACAGGGCACTCAGGCGTGTGGCACTCAGGCGTAGCTGCCAGTGGGGGTGGGGGCGACCTCTTCTCCAAAAGTGCCCCTGCTCAGCTCCTCCCATCCCTGCCCAGCTGACCTAAAAGTGGGGCTTTAAAACAGAATCCCAGTGAATTCCATTACAGTTGGTTATGAAGAAGTTTCAGGCATACAACATTCCAACACCAATCCCCTCACCTGAGAACTTGAAGACTTTGAACCCCCAACGCTGCCATTTTTAATACTTCTAGGTGACGAGACCACAGTACCCCTGACCACCTTTCCCCCAGAAATGATGCCAACAGATGCCCCCACCTGTGATGGCCCCCAGGAGGACCGTTCCCCAACTCTGGCTTGTCTTGTTTCGACCTGTACTTCCTTCCTCAGACTTCTTGGCCATACTTTCAGCCTCTGTTCCCTTGGAAAAGAACCACATTGACCATGGGGTCCCCAGAGCTGGGCTGTATCCTGCCACCATTCCCACTACAGATGCTGTCCCAGACACCAGCTTCTGCTGGCCTCGATGTCCCCTTATCAAGGGTGCCCCGAAGGCTCTAGTGTTAGTTCTCGTTGGAGCGATCGGTTGGGAGCGCAGAGATAAGCGAGGCATGCAGAAGATTGAAGCATTGATG